GGCACCCACCGAACCCTGGGTTCCCATGTGTACCAGGTAGATTTGGATGAATGAGGCAAAGGCAGGACAAGAACCCACAGTGACTGGATGTCCCTTCAGTGGTCAGACCTGTTTGGTGTCAGCTATCCCAGCCACCTGAGTCACACCATCCTGTGTGTGGTCGTTGCTAGGAGCAAGTCCACCTGGAGCCAGGGCTCAGAATCCAGGTGCGCAGTGAGCGCCGAGATGCCTGACAGGTGGGCTTCTGGCTCCCAGTCAGCGGACCAGCTATCTGCCTGAGCTCGGGTCTACGACCAGGCTCGGTCACAGTGGTCAACAGGCACTGCTCTCTGGCCTGGTGCCAGCTGCTGCCCAAAAGACCAGGCTGGCTGAGCCTCCTGAAACCGGTGCAGACTGCTGACCACTTCTTTTTCATCTCAGGGCCTGCTACAGAGCTCTGGGTCAAACGGTGCTCATGTGCCTGGCATGTTGGCTCCCACACCCACCTCAGCCATTTCCTGACAGCCGAGCCCCTCCTCTGTTGAAGAAGCATTGCTTATAGGTCTCAGACTGCCTCTACCCCAAGAGTTGACCCTTTTTATCAAGGACTCTGGAACCTTGTGTAGAAAGTACCACCCAGATGAGGAAGCAGAGAGCGTGGGGTGTCATAAGCTACACTAGTGGGTGGAGACCCCCATGAGTTTGTGCCCAGCCAGTGTCCTTAGTCCTCGGCTCTCCGGGATATTCTGCCCTTGCAGCCTGCAGATGACTAATCTGAACCAAGTCACCCAGTCAGGCCAGCACTGGAGCTGGACCTCCCAGCTGGGCTCTCGCTGTAAGCGGGTGTCCCCTGAGGCAGGGGGCGCAGGAGGCCCAGCCGCGGGGTCTTCCTTTGCTGGGCAGCGCTCAGGGCATACCAGACATGAGAATGGGGGTACAAGTAGAGGCACCAGGGAAGGAGGAGGGCAGGAGCCCCTTGGCAAAGGGATGGTGACTGCAGCACAGCCCTGGGTTCCCAGCTCCTTTGCCGAGGTGGGGCTGGACGCCCCTGCCAGCCAGCCGGGAGGGTTATGTCACAGCAGGACGAAGAAGCGGGCAGGCCTGAGGAGGGGCTGTCGGATGAGCCAGCCACATACAGCCCAGAGCTGCCGCCTCTCCAGGGGCCTGGGCTTTATCTCCTTTGCCCCAGCTGTCACTGTTTGCGACACAGCCATGCTTATCTGGGGGTGCTGGCTCAGGGAACCCTGGAGGCGGCTGGCTTCTCGCCAGGGCGCCCTCTGGTAGTCCCCCATCTTTGTCAGCTTGCTCGCGCTGGCCGGGCTGTGCCCTGGTATGCCCCATTCTCTCCCCCGCTGCATGCGGCAAAGTTACCAATACTTTCTCGTCATCTCCCTTCCTGGAGGGGCTGTCAGTAGTCACCGTGACAACAGCAGCAAACCCTCCTTACATCTCTGTATACCCAGAACTTCCCCATGTGCCCGTCAGTCCCCATCCTGCAGGTGTGGAAACCAAGGCTCAGAGGAGTTGGGTATCTTGTCCAGATGGTGGGGCTTAAAGCAGGGAAGCTGGGCTGCACATTCAGCCTACTAACCTATGCGCCACCCCCGCCCCACGACTGCTTCTGTGGAGGCTAAAAGACACTTTGGGTCCTGATGGATTCGCCTATTTATTTAAGATTATATTTCATTTTGGAATTTTTAAAAAAGGAACACTATGGGAACAATAAAGTACTTGTTTACTCAGCAGCCAAAGTCAATGAAAATTAAAATTTCATCATGTGTTTTGGTTCTCTTTATAAAGGAACAAATATTATAAAGTCCCCTTTGTTCTGTGATCTGGTTGCTTCCCCTTCCAAACTATGGGCCACCAGCCCATTGCCTGTCCACAATCTGGACATTTTTAATGTCTTGAGATGGCTCTGTGTTTGGGGAGAGGGAGCCTCAGTGCAGAGTGTCTCTCTGACACATGTTTGTGGGGCAGGGCTCAGCACTTGGAGGGAAGAGCTGGGTTGTACCTTGGACTGGTCAGGGTGCACGCCCTCTGTTATCTATGGAGAGGCGTCTTTCCCACCCTAGTGGCAACTGAGACCCAACTCCTCAGTGTTAGGGACCATGGTATTAAGAGAGCCCGCAGGCTGGGGGCTCTGGGCAAGCTATCTCCCCTTCTCGGAGCCTCAGAGCCCTGCTCTGCCCCCGCTCACTATGCGGTGGAGAGACCCCAAGTGGGGTCAGTCTAGCAGAGGTGACAGCCAGAGCTGGCTGCACTTGGTGCCGGCAGCGCTGCTCTGGTTTCTGAAGCCAGGCCCCCACTGTGAGGAGAGGACCGGCTTTTCCAGCGCTGCCGCCAGCAACTGCCTGCCTCTTTGGCCACGCCTTCCACCTGCCCCGCCTCCCACTGGCTGTGAATAGTGATGCAATCTTCATGCTTCTTGCCGCTTGCGCGGGTGATGCAATCCTCACGCCTCTTGCCGCATGCGGGAGGCTGTGTGTGCGTGTAGTGGAGAGGCCTGGGGCAGTTGTTTCAGGGTTGGCACTCCCCCCTAAGATCGGAGGCTGACTCAGAAAAACCGGCAGACCTGTCCTCTTGCTGTGCAGAGGTTCCCTGGGATCTAGTGGCAGGAAGGAACCTGGGCTTGCCCTTCAAGCCCTCTTTGCCCTGGATCCCAGCCACTGGGCATGGTGGACCAGAGATCACTAAACTGGAAGCGCTCCCTGGAAGCCCAGGAGAAGAAAGCTCTATTATTACCCTCCTCTTCCCCCTGCACTGTCAGTCCTGCGGGCGATGTCAGAGGGCTTCAGAGACCTGGGTCTCAGTCTTGGGTCTGCCCCTTCTGCCTTGGACAGGCAATTCCTCTGAGCTTCCTCTTCTGTGCTGGGAATAGCAGTGCTGATGATCTTAATACAGGACAGCTGCCTTCCCATTGGTCCTCAGGGCCAGGACCGAGCATGTGTCCACCCCAGAGCCACACAGGGAAGGCCACAGGTGGCTGTTTGCCTTGTGTATATATCTGCCTCCCCTCCCCCACTGAGCCTTTCAGCTCCTGCTGGAAGAGATGGCTTCAGTACTGTGACACAGATACTTTGTTGTAAACCCCACATTCCCAGCCTCATTTAAACCCCTACCACCATGAGGCAGCTCATTGACTAGGAGCCTCTGAAGGTGCAGAACCCACAGCCCAGGAGACAGGGTCTCCGCTAGGGTCCCCACAGGTAAGAGCCAAGCCAGGCCCGTATGTCACAGCTCTTAGAGGATTTCTGAATAGTTCAGTTTTGGAATAGCAGCCTAAAGCAAATACTTTTAAAACATTTTTCAGCCTGAACTTTCCCAGTGCATAACATAGTCTCTGTCAGCCGTTGCATCAGCCAGAGTTTAGAGCAGTGAAGAAAAGATGAGCGGCGAGTTGCTATTAAGGTGTCAGTTAATTTCCAAGAGAGAGAGAGAGGCAGGCAAAGCGGTGAGGCCCGTAATCCTTCCCAGGGCACACTGGGAAGCTTTCCTGTTCTCCTTCCCGAACTGGCGGGCCTCATCCACTTAACCAGCATGGATGTATCTCTTTGGCGCCTAACCCTCAAATAGTAAAATTACATGTAATTACTCTTGCTGGGGAAAGATGCCACTTGGGGTTCCCCAGCCCTGGTTTCGTTCTGTCTAGAAAAGAGGAAGAACGAGCAAAAAACCTTTATAGACTTCCTTACCTTACCGAAACCTTCCGAGGAAGAGGTGTGTGTGGGGGGAGAGGTGGAAAGGGGCCCTTCCCATGGGCCCCTGGCCACGCTGGTTAATGTTTAATGGCTAGCCCTCCATTGAAAAAAATGACCCATCTCTGCTCCAGCCAGTTCCTGATATAAGTGTTCTCTGGGTTCCTGGTTTTCTGCTCATGTGGGTGGGGAGCTGGGATGAGAGTGAGGCCACCAGAAGCATAGAGACTGAGTGCGTGGATGAATTAGAAATAGTGAAATGGGAAGGAATCAGTGTTGAGTGTTCTGTTGCCTTTGTTTTAGTATAATTTTGTTTCATTGTAAGTTTACAGAGTGGTTTTCTTAACTACCCAGCTCTCAAGATCCCTCAACAGTTAGGGGCAGCTCCCAAGCACGTGCATGTCTCAATCCCATGTGCCTGCCCTCCCCCGCCCCACACCCCCCCCCCGCCACCGCCCCCAGAGCAGGGCAGCGCCTGCTTATGTCCAGGTGCGTTTGTTGAGCCTAGCTTAGCTGCCACCCCGTCTTCATCTCTGTTCCCATTCAGGTCAGAGGAAACCACCTGTGACTTGTGGCAATTTTCAGTTTCAAGGTATGCTTTTACAACGGCAGCAGAACTGCTGTGGTTTCCTGTACCAGCTGGGACCACCTGAGTGTGTGTGGCTGCTTGTTGACCCCAGGACTGTGCCATTCACCTTCAACCCCCATTTCTGGCATCTAAATTGCCTTTGTGGTCCCACCATTTGGCCTGTCATATGGATTTGTGCTAGCAGGATACCTCGTCACCTGTTAACTCTGTGGGATTCTAAAAGATTCTCTCTGAAGAAAGGGTTTCCCACCTTCAAGAAGTTTGGTAGGCTGTGTGTGAACCCAGTTAATTATGCTAACTGTTGGGCAGGTGCAGAAAGGTGAATGCAGTCCCCCTCCAAATGGCAGGTTAGCTATTTAACCTACACTCTTTTTTTTTTTTTTTTTAACCTACACTCTTAAGATAGCCCTCAACTCAACTCAGAGACTAAACTCAGGTGTCTGGAGGGGTGGGAGAGGAAGGAACAGTAGCTGTTTTGAATGTCGGTCCCTTAGGAGATTGATCTTTATTCATTTTTCCAAAATCCTTTGTGACAGCCCAGGGGTGCCTGGGACCACGGCTCAGGAGACTGTGGTTCTCAACCTTTGACCTTAGGCCTAGATTGCTACCAAGTTAATCAAAATAAGTCCCAGAGGATGAGACTCCAACAAAGGGGCTGGGTTTCTTCTCAGCCTGTCCCTACCTCGTGCTGACCACATGTCCAGTGGGACTCACTCACTGCCCTGTCCCCACAGTGCTGCTCACGGCCGTGAACTGTTACAGCGTGAAGGCTGCCACCCGGGTCCAGGATGCCTTCGCTGCCGCCAAGCTTCTGGCACTAGCCTTGATCATTCTGCTGGGCTTCATCCAGATCGGGAAGGGTGAGTGCGTCCTCTGGGCCTTGACAGCTGCCTTGTGAGGCCCTGCTGTGCCTGGGGGGAGGGGTCCCCACCTCTGCAGCAGGTCCCCAGCCCCCGGATCCACCAGGTTCTCTGACACATCACTTAACCTGCTCTGCACCCCTACCCTTAGTAGGGGGTCCCCCTCTGAATGCCCCTAGCGCTCATGTCTGGCACGCTAGCATGAAGGGAGTCCCTTTGAATTGGGGCACTGTGTGCCAGGTCACACCATCCTAGGAAAGGCAGTGATGTTGACTTAGACTGAACATCACCCAACAAGTTAAATCAGCCCCAGGGCAATAGGGCAATATAGATTCACCCTGTTCCAAACCCCACTCTCCTACCCACTGTTGAGGCCGGGGAAGGGTAGGGTGGGTACATGGGGACTTTTGGAGAGAGCTTAGCACTGTACCTGGCACATTGTGAGCTGTTGCTAGTTTTGTTTCCTGTGGTAGATGTTGCACACAGGAAGCTGCACAGATTGTAGGTGCCCTGCAGATGAGTCACAGCTGCGCCCCAGGGGAGGATGTAGAACAGCCCAGCTCCTAGCAGGGTGCTTGTGCCATGGATGCCCCCACACACCAGCATCTACCATGCTGACCCCTGTCCTGGAATTGGTGCTTTGTCCGATCCTATGTGGGTCGCCCACGGCATGGCATTTGGTGACCCTCTGACTACTGGGCCTTGCTCCTTGTGAATGTGCTATGATTTGCTCATCGTTCTGTGGGCAAGGGCAGGGGGGTCCCTCTATTTCTGGCCACTGTGGAAAGTACTGTCAGGAACATTTTTGTAGGTGTATCTTGGTGAACAGAAGTACTGTTTTCTCCTGGGCTGCGTGCACAGCTGGCCCAGGTTAGGCTCTGGCTTGGACGCCACAGATGAGCGATCTCGCAGCGGCTGTCCGAGGCAGGATCTGAGAGCCCCTCCAGAGGAGGTCATCGTGAGGACACACACGGCAAGCACCCCACAGCCTTGTGTGTGGAGGGCAGGGGGTCACCGGGGCCTGGCTCTACGTCCGAGTGCCCTTAGAAAGCTGGGGCCACAGAGAGCAGCCCCTGTGTCCCCTGGCTCGCCAGGGGCGCTGCTGGCCTGATGTAGCCGGTCTGGCAGCAGCCCAGAGCTCTGTCACAGGGAGAGCCAGAACTTGGGCCACTTTAATATCCCATGTAAGCACAGGGGCCGCATGCCCCTCTCCCGTCAGCTCTCCTTCGGTGTGAAGCCCTGTGCAGGCGGCGGCTGTCGTCTTGTCATAGCCTGTCCTCCCTCGCACCTTGGAGCTGGTAGCTGTGGATTGTGTACTTGGAAAACCCCTAAAGGCCTCACACCTGTGCCCTCAGCACTTCTGCCTGTGACACCCAGAAATCCATCCTTGCAGTTCTGGATTTCCCCGATCCCTTCCCCCAACCTCACTGGGCACCGCACTGTACGGGGATCTGGTGTCCAAAGACCACGGGACCGGGCAGGGGACATGACCATGATCTAGGAGAGTTGAGTGCACGTGGGGCCACAGCGGCTGCCACATTGCCTGCCCTCGTCCGTCCTCTCTTGAGGTAGAGAGAACCCCGCAGTTCTGGTGTAGGCCGACCTGCTGAAGTCAAAGCAAGAATCCAGATCATTCAAGCAGGCTATCTTTATTAAATACATTAATATATGTGAAGCTTTCAGCATGACGCCTGGTACCTAGTAAGAACCAGCTCCTATAGGTACAGTCATTATCATTGAAGTGAAAATGCCACCTGATTTGCAGTCACTCTCTGTGGAAGGTAGCCTAGGTCATCACCTCAGGAGCTGGACCTCTTGGGAGCGTGTATCTGACCAGTGATAGCTGGCTCCCCAGGAAGTCCTTGAAATAGTCTCTGGGGGCGAGCCCAGCAGGCAGGGCTGGGGTGAGCCAGAACCTGCCTTTAATCCGAGCCGCCACTGCCTCGGGCGCTCCCACCGTACTCGAGAGCCTTCCCGGGACTTCAGGTTCCAGCATCGTCCTGAAGACAAGACTTGAACCTTACTCTTTACTTCTCGGGTCTCAAGGACCCTAGTCATGGAGAAGAGTTAGAACTGATGAGAAAAAGCCCATCTTGCACCCACCACTTTGTCCACCTAGGAGATGGGTCATTGGCTAAAAGCCTTGCTTGTGAAGGCTTTGACTTGGCTGGTGTGATTGGATACAGACCAGTGAGGAATGTAGGGGGGAACCTGACTTTTGTAAAAACAAATTTCAGTAGGCATAGCAAAGAGCTTTTGTTCAGCTTGAATACATAATATGTTTATAATTCTGTTGAAAACATCCTCCCCCGGCCTCCCGCCCCAAGCGGTTTCTTTCTGAACTCGGGATGCAGCGTCCGCAAAATTCCTGTCTCCTGTTTTTAAGAGATTTACTTTGTTCCCAGATGAATGCCTTCCCTTCTAGAGGACACAGTGTTGAAAATGTTGACTGCCTTCTCCCACAACATTTGTCTGACTCTGTTTCCCCTCGGGCAGCCTGCCCAGCCCCGTGGATAGAAACAAGGCTGGATCCTTCTGGCGGAGGCTCTGCTGGGATTAGCCACAGGCCACCTGCATCTGGAGAACAGGACCTGTTGTCTGGCCGACTGGCCTAGACACTCTCTCCTTCACTCCACTCAGCGTTCAAACTGCCTTCCTCCTTGGCTCACCTGGTACCTGGGGCTGCAGACGGGGCTTGGGCATGAGGTTCAAGTCCAGCTGGCCATTTGTTAGCCCCAGGCCTCTGCTGGCCTCGTTTCCTCATTGCCGTGGGACCGTGAGCAGTCCTGCCCTTGTTCTTCAACAGAACTTTCTCAGGCTCTGAGTGCAATGAGCACACACACAGCTCTACCATCCAAATGCCCTCTGTGGTTCAGAGACATCAGACACACAAGAACAGGGAAAGGCAGGTGGGGCGATGGGGCTCCAGCCCAGACCTGGAAGGTCCATCTGAGGGCAGGAGGGTGTGGCTGCATGAAGCCACAGAGGGGACTGCTCTGCAGGGTCCCAGGGCTGAGATCTCAGGTCGGGGAGGAGCCCTGTGGCTGGGGTTGGGGATGCCATCATGGTGCTGAGTACGTGGGGACTGGCGCCATCTAACGTGTCTGGATTTGCTCCCGGCCTCTTCAGAAGGAGCAGCTGAGCTCAGGTGGGCATTTCAGATCTGGGTTGCTGAAATCGCCATCTCAGGAAGTGTGGGTGGGGGCGGCTCGGCTTGAGGAAGCCACTGAGAGAAGCAGGTGGACATGGTGGGCCGAGGGCACTTTTCGGTTCAGGACATACCTGCTGGCCACCTCCCCCTGCTTTTGCCATTTTTCTTTTTATCTGTTGGTTTCTTACCTGTTTACACCCTGCAAGGTCCACAGCCTCAAGGTCAGGCTGTTCCTAGAGCTGAGCAGCTCTTCCAAGGCTGGAGGGTGACAGTGGGGTGTGGAAGACTTGTCTGTTATGCCCAGGTCCCTTCCGGAGGATACACAATGGGACCCTTGTGCTTTGCTCGGCTGTGGCACCCGGTGGGAGAATAACTCGTGTCTCTTTGAGCAGTTACACAGCGATTGCATAGTTGGGCAGATAAAAGATTTCACAAAAATGCTTTCCTCCCACGTTGCCTCTGAGCAGGATGCCCTCCCCCTGGAAGTCAGGGGAGGAGACTTGTTCCCTATGTCAGGGCCTGGTCCCCCAGCCTCCACAGCAGCTCACATGAGCCTGCCCAGCCACTAGGACATTGTCCCCAAGTGCCGGGAGACCTGGTGTAGCATTGGGAAAGGAGGCACTTAGACTCTGAATTAATTATCTCCTGTGTCCAGTACTGCCCCGAAGTTACTAGGAGGATGGGGGATCGCGAAAGCACAAGAGATGCCACTGGCCAGCAGGACCGGCCTTGCAGGGGAGAAGGCCCCGGCAGGCCTGCAAATGACCACATGCTCCCAGGGCTAGAGGCTGGTCTGTGAGTCATTTTACAGTTTGCATTTGCCTCTTAGGTGACTGGGTCAGGGCCCAGAGAAACAGTGGCCTGTCCAGTCCCACAGAGCAGTGTCAGCAACCCCACATGGCTTGTGATGTTGGGTACCGTGCTCAGGGATGTGAGCCCCCCAGGACCTCGGTCCTACCCAAGAACGCAGTGTCGGGCTTACAGGGGAGATGGTGGAAAAGGCCCCATGCACTCAGGCCAGGCGGCCTGGAATAGCCAGGCAGAGGAAGGGAGAAGGTCCTGGTCCTGGGAAGGGCCTGGGTCTTGAGTAGGGCTCTCCTTTGGCAGGTCTCTTTGTTTATTGGAGCCTTAGTTTCCTAGTCTGTGAAATGGCAGCAATAGCAACACAGCCCCAGGGCCATCGGGGCCATCTCTTGCTGCTGCAAAATGTTGCCAGGCAACTTGGCGGCCAGTGACATGGGCTCCCCTCCCTTGCAGGGAGGGGATCAGCTTATCAAGTGCTCCCAGGCCCCAGTTCCCCCTTAGGGAGGACTCGAGGGCACCAGTGACAGAATCTGTCTCAGAGGGGATCACAGCAGCTGCAGGACGCTGTAATGGGGGTGGGGCAGGCCTGGGGTTCTGTGCTCTGCACCAGTAGTCATCTGTGTCCCGGGGGACAGGGGTGGGGCCTTAGGGCCCCTCCCCCACCACAGGCCAGTCTGCCCCTCTGAAACGCCCACAGTGGCAGTCACATGGCAAATATGGGAGCCCCCCTGGCCGCCATGGAAGAACTTGTGGCAATGAAGCCACGATCAAAGGAAGGTTGGTTGCTTTTCCTGGGGGTGCTCTTTGATCATTTTTAGTTGAGTCCTTCCTTTGGGCCCACATGGCTCCGTGCTTGTTCGGCATCCAGAATCATAACAGATTTGCAGTCACATGCTTTGTGTGCTGCCCTCTGGGATGAAATCAAAGGCCTGGAAGCTGGGTTCTTTCCCACTGCTGCGCTCGGCTCACTGTGCCCTGGGCAGTTAGCTGCACGGACAGAGCAGTCAGGGCCAGAGCTGTGGCAAGAATGGGGGTGTGGCCACAA